GGTCGAGACGGCTGCTTTCCAGAGGGGTTCTTGGGTTATTAACACTTTCGCGCTTTCCGCGAAGGTCACTCAGCCAACCGAATGTGCGTGCGGCGTTTTTATCGCTTAAGCGTAAAAACAAAAATGTGTATACTCTTTTTACTCTTCTGACCTTAGTTCTCATGCTACGTATTTCATTTTGGTACCAACGTGTTCGCAATAAAATTCTCTAGAAGAACATCAGTAAAAAAAGTCACGAAACGTATAGGGATACCAGCACCAAATAAATAACTACGAAGATGACTCGCCGTGAGCGCCCATGAGCAACAAAATGTTTTTACTCTTGGGATTGTAATCACCTCCACACTTATTCTACAGCGTTAATTTTGGTATCAATGGACTCGCAATGAAATTCCCAACACGGTGATATGAATATAAGCGTAGAATAATGATGCGGCCCGCCCGCAAGAGTGTGGGAAGTGGTGAAATTGTTACCCGGTATCGGTGACGGGACGACGCACGGCGCTTTGAAAGTTTATACTTATTTCACTCTCATGACATTAATTTTCTATGTACGTCATTCATTTTTGTGTCAATGTGTTCGCAATAGAATGTTCTATGTGCCCATAGGTAAAAAATATCAACAAAGCGTAAGTTAGAATAGCGCCAAATATAAAACAACGTTGGAACATATCAGTGAGCGTCAAACACACACGAAATGTTTTTACTTTTGTTATGTTTGTCAAGTTTATACTTGTTGCACACAGTTATTTTTGGTTGTATATTGATCGGAATAAAATTCCCTAAACAGACATATGCATATAATACATGATATGGGGGAAGCATTACCAGTATAAACGGCTAAAGTCACCCACCTGCAACCCGTTTGGGACAAAATACCATTTGATCGAAGTTATCCACACCTTTCATGAAATTATTGTACCATGCAGCCTAGTGGTGAGAAAGAGAGCCTCATAGCGCGCAGTTTGAAACAAACCCAAAGTAAATCGGATAAAAATTGAATTTTATACAAATATTTTAAAAGAGGACTCAACTTTATGTCCACTATGCGTTAGCGTTAGACGAAACGGGACGCGCCGGCGCGTCCAGATAGCGCGAAAGTGTTAATGCTAGATTGGTGTGGCCAGGGGTGCATCCTGTGTTGTCCGGTTGCGCTTTTTGCTGTTACCTGCGTACCGTGTCTGGGGATGTGCTTTGGTTTGATCCGGTTCCCCTCGTTCCCTGTTTTCAGGGCTCGGGTCTCCCAGGTCATCCGCAGAGTTTTTCAGTCTTCCACTCTGCGGTCTTTGCGCCGGTGCTGTACAGACGTTTGCAGCTTTTGCTGCTGTGTTGGTGACGTCTATTACTCATTTCGGGCGCAGGGATTTGAGGGTCACACAGGTTCTTGGCCGCCCATTCTTTATGCGCGTCTGCTCCTTTGCGTTCTTGTTGCCTTGGGTCGCAGGTTGCAACCTGTTGTCTCGGCTTCGCGTTGCGAAGTTTGTGGCGGCCGCCTCCCGGGTTAGCCCTTTCTTTTCTTTCTCTTTGGGTATGAAGCTCCAGGGAGCCGTAGGGGCTCCCCACAGAAAACCAGTATTGAATGTAATGAAACTCCATTTTCTGGGTGAGCCCCGGAGGCTCCCTGGCAACCCTCCCTCCCACCGGTCGGCGTTTTTTTCGCGTTGGTTGAAGCTTAGCTTCCGAACTGAAGCTTGGCAGCCGGCGCGGTAGGTCCGGGGCTTCCCCCTCCCCCTCTCAGGGCGGGGAGGGCTGCGCGGACGATCGGTGCGGCAGTAAAGTGTGATGTTTGCTTGTTTCCTTGGGATTGTAGGGAGTTTCTACCTCACTCTTTGGTTTTTTGTTTTAGTTTTTTACCATGTGGGGTTTGTTTTGGTATGCCTACCTTTCTGGGTGCCTAACCCCGGTCGATGGCAGATAAGGAAAACCCCAACCACAAGGGGGTTTTCCAGGGCCATTGCTCCCTGAAACCTCTCTGAAGGGGCCAGGTTCTGGCGCTGGTCCCTGGTAGGTCTGAGCTTCTTGGCTAATGTCCCGGTCTAATCTAACATACATTAGCCCGATAAGCTCCAGGGAGCCTCCAGGGCTCACCCAGAAAATGGCATTTCATTACATTCAACGCTGGTTTTTTGGTTTTAGGGACCTGGACTTGAGGGTGGGAGTTGCTTCGGCTTTGGTTCCATCTGCCCCTCTTTGTCCTTCCCCTTCTGTTGTGCATCTGAGGGTCTCAGAGTTGGGGCAGGGTCTAGTTGGTACGTAGCCCAAGCCTCGGGCCGGGCTTGGGGAGTAGAAGAACTCCCAAAACCCCATCAACCAGGTATCAACCAGGTATCCATATCAGCCTGGGTAACTCCGGGGAACCTCTGGGACTCGCCCAGAAAATGGCGTTTCATTACATTCAATGCTGGTTTTTGATGCCTCCTGCCTTTTCTTTAGAGCCAGGAGGGGCTTGGAGGATAACTTGGCCCCGGGTCCTTGGAGTGAGGTTCCAGGGAAGGGGAAAGGGTTGACTTGGGGGGGGGGGGTTAGGCGCCCTTGGGTCAAATTGAACCCCGTCTGGGTTTTTGTACCCTCAGAGCAGGGCTTGGTGTTACAAGGAAAGGGGTTCTCTTTCGCTCCCTTCTCGTACGAATTGGATTTGACATTTACCCCTTGAGGTTATCTTGAGATGATTTCGGGGCTTTTTAGTGTCCCCGCGGCCCGGTCCTCGACCAGGCCTCCACCCCCAGGAAGCAGCCCGTGACAGCTGACTAACTCCCAGGTACCTATTTACTGCTAGGTAACAGGGGCATTCAGGGTGAAAGAAACTTTGCCCATTTGTTTCTGCCTCGTGCGGGAATCGAACCCGCGCCACAGAATTACGAGTCCTGCGCGCTATCCACCAGGCTACGAGGCCCCCTGGGTTCGGTTCCGTGACCCCTCGTCGGTCTGTCGGTTCTGTCCTTCGGAAGGTTTTCGGCTTCATTCGTCCAGTCGCATGTGGTGCGGGAGGCCCTTGTGGCTTACCTCCAATGCAACCCGGATTATGCTTTTATAATGGATCCGCGTTTCTTTGTGTATGGATCTTCGTGTCCTTACTGGCTTCGTTATGAAGTTCCGGAGTCGTCCTGGTTAGCAGACTGCCTCCTCTTCTCTTTTGAGGGGTGGCATACGTTCTGTCAATCCCGCACGCTTGAGTGGCGTGAGGCTCAGATGGCATTGCAGGTCTTCCAGGGGGCGACTTGAACATCTCAATGCATGCTTATTTGCCCCGGTCCTTTCGCGGGATGTTGGTGTGATGCAGCTTCATGTGCAGGTTCATTCCCTTTCGGCTGCATTGGTCGCGGAGGATTTGCGTACGTGTGGACTGCTGGTTTCGGCCCTGAGTTTATTTTCCCTCGTTGAGCTGTCTTTACACTGGCTTGAGGAGGATGTGGAAGACCTCGGGCCACATCTGGGTCTGGTGCATTGCCTACGGCTGTGCGTGCTTCGTCTGCATTGTTGGAGCTGTTCGCACCATTCCTGCAGGATGCAGTTCCACGTTTTTTTTATTCTCGCCTCTTCCTTGGAATCCGCTTGGGCCCTGGCTCTTAGACTGTCTTCGCCTTTTTGTCCGTTGCTGTTTGCGGAGTTTAGACTTTGCTGTTTATTAGACTTTGCTAATAGGTCCTTATTAGTGCCGAAAATGAGTCAGTAATTTGCTAGAACTAGTAGCAGAAAATCAACCAGCTCAGCCATACCCAGCATGAGCACAGTTGTACCCAGCACAAGCACAGCTGTACCCAGCACGAGCACAGCCATTCCCAGCACGAGCACAGTCGTACCCAGCGCGAGCACAGCTGTACCCAGCACGAGCACAGCCATTCCCAGCACAAGCACAGCCGTACCCAGCGCGAGCACAGCTGTACCCAACACTAGCATAGCCATTCTCAGCACGAGCACAGCCATACCTAGCACCAATACAACAGCAACCAGCACCAGCTCAGAAGCAGCTGAAGCAAGCACAGCAGCAGCGAGCACCAGCAAAGCTGATGCAAACATCTAAGAACATCATGTGTGGAGTGTACAGTTAGAATAAGTGTTAAACTTAAGTACATAGTGTTAGTGTGAAAATTAAGGTTGCAGTACAGTAATTTTAGTGTAAAATAGTTTTCATAAACTGTATTGTAGTACTCGACATACAGCAGAACTACTTATCAGTGCAGTGCCAATGGCATAATACTGTACAGTATGTATTTACTGTTCAGCATTCACAACTCCATGAGAACTCAGAATAGACATAACTCCAACAATAAGGTAAATAACTGTAACACAATATTTTTTAGTAGAGTAGTAATACAGTATATAGGTACAGTGTATAATATGATAATGCATTTTTATTGTTTACAAGAAAACAAAAAGACTGATGCAAACGCCTCTTGCAACGAATCCAACCCTGCAGTGAACCGGGGTTGATCCCATATAGTATGGTGAATCGAGGTTGTACAGTACATGTTTCTTTCACTGCTTTCATCATGGATTGGCTCTATTCTTGATCACTATCCATCTTGAAGTCAATTTGCAGTGTTTATAAAAATAGTAACAACAAATACCTGAGGTAAAATAACGAGAATGGGGAAACTTTTTGACTCAAGGGGAGGCCATGGCTGTCACGAGCGAGGTCATGAGAACAATGAGCCTCCAGCGTGGGTGGACGCCCATGTAGATGCCACGTGGGGTATACAGAGAATGGAAAGAGGTTGGCGCACATTTTAAAACAAGTCCCATATTATTCAGACATTAGGTTGAATTCTTACAAATTTTAAAATTAATGACGCTATTTGCATCATCACGCACTCTGTGTGTTTTGGTTTGATGCCGCATATTTCGGCATGAGGTAGCAAACGTGTAAAGCACAGCTTCCTTCCTGCAGCTAACAATTAGATAATTAAGTATAAGTTAAATTTCGTCATGTCAGTTTAGGTTGTCAGGTCTTTGGTACCAGTGTAAACTTGAGCTTTTGCTAATTTGCATCTATATTTCAGCATGGTGAGAGCATCCACAATGAAATGGGAAGAATAGGTGGTGATTCTGACCTTAACGAAAAAGGCCGGAAGTTTGGTGAAGCTCTTACTCAGTATATTAAGGACCAAGATATTCCTAAAGTAAGTATAGCGTATTCATGATTTTAGTTTGTTCTATATTTTGTACACTAATTTCTGTAAGGGGTAAATGATGGCTCCCTGTAGCTAGCTGCACTGAGAGTCTTCACACATATGAGGATGATAAGTCACAGTAACATGGCTGAAGATATGATATCTAAACCCACACATCAGAAAAGGAGGAAATGATGATGATTTGTTCCATCTTAGACCATTTTTGACTTAATAATGGTCCAGGACAGACCAAAACATCATAATTTCTTCATTTGCTGATGTGTGATTTAGATATAATTCACATATATGAGTCACAGCATCCCTAGGCATCCTAGAGATCAGATCCAGAACCTGGCCCCCTCTCTCAAAGGTGCAGGAGCAAGGGATTATTACAATCACTTCACCAAGGAAATATTCAGAAAGTAAGTGGAGAAAAACCAACAACGGCAAGTTTCACAGATAAGTATCGGAACAGAAAACAACTGCAAATGATCCACCTAGATTCACTTGTATGATTTTAGTGGCACACTGCTAGGTCCCTATGATTGCACACGTCGCAGGAGGTTCAGTTTTTATTTTGTTTGCTTGGTAGCTGTGGGACAACCGGTTAGCAGTACCTTGCCTGGGCTTCCCTTTGCAATCAGCCTAAGGACCCTGGAAACTCCCATTGGGGTTTTTTGGCCTGATAAAGGAGACCTTCAAGTCTCGCCTCGCTTCGTGCGAGAGTGAAGGTTGTCCCCTTGTCCCCTTGTCCCCTTGTCCCCTTGTCTCAGGGTGACACTTACCGTATTTGCCTCCGCCATGCTGACTGTTGGGTCAATGACACCTTTGACCCAGAGTCCTGCGAGTGGTGTTCCTTGCCATTCACCCAGTCCACTGATTTTGATATTCGAGTGCAGGCAGTTTGAGCGTTGCATGCACGGTTTAGGTTGCTGCAACGAGTGAGGTTGGTTGCCTTGCTGCGACTGCCCGCCAAAGATACATCAACTTTGGTTTTGTCCGCATTCCTTTGTCCTTTCCCTGCTGTGGTACGTCTTGTTTCCCCCCCCCTCTCAGCTCCCAAACATCTGAGGGTTTCGGAATCAGGGCAGGGTTTACTTGGTGATGAGAATCCTGCTTTTCCGGTGGACTCTGCCTTTTCTCCAGAAGCAGAGGGTTTGGAGGACAGCTTGGCCCCGGGTCTTGACGTGAAGGATCCCGGGGCTAGGGAGGAGTTGACTTTAGGGGCTTAGGCCCCATTTGACCCCACTTGGGTGTTGGTACCCTCTGCATGGGGCTTGTTGTTACAGGGGAAGGGGTTTTCTTATCCCCCTGTCCCTGTATGAGTTTGATATGAGTTCGACTCCTCCCTGAGTTCGGTTCCGGGTTTCCTTGGGTTAATCGGTTCCCTCCTTCAAGAGGGTTTCGGCTTCCTGCATCCTACCAAGGGAGGTCCGGGAAGCCCTTGCAAGTTACCTCCCGCAAGACCTGGACTAGTCATCGATAATGGATCCTTCTTCTTTTGAGTTTGGTTCCTCTTTCCCTTACTGGGTGTGTTATGAGGTGCTGCAGTCTTCCTGGCTGCCGGCCTGCCCCTTTTCTGGGGGGAACCCCTACGGCTCCCCGGAGCTATCCATGGCTGATATGGATACCCTAACTATTTTGCATCAGTCGATGTGGGTGGAGTTCTAGGCCTACCGGGGACCACGAGTCAGAACCTGGCCCCCTCAGAGAGGCATGGGGGAGCAATGGCCCATAGAAATGCACATGTGATTTGGAGCATTCTATATCTGCCATCGACCGGGACAGGCACCCAGAAAGGTAAGCGCCACAAAACAAACCCCTATTCTGGTTAAACAACATAATCGACAAACGAGTGGACAGAACTCCCCCAGGAAAACGAACTAACAAGCATGACGTCACGCGAGCCGCGCCGCATGTCTGTGCAGCTCCCCCCTCCCCGGGAGGGGGAAGGGGGAGCCCCAGACCCCCGCGCCGGCGATCCCCGCCTCAGTTCCTCGGCTGATGGGATCATGCACGGTCGTGTGGCTCCAGCTCCAGTCTTGTGTCAGTGCTGTGACTTGTTTGCAGTGCTGCTCTTACGGTGGTCGTGTGAGCTGGGAGTAGTATTCTCAGGTACTCGGGCTGCATGTGCTTAGGGCCACCTTCCCTGAGTGCCCTGTAAGTACCGCCCTTGGGGCTTGGGGTTGCCTTCCACAAGTCACCTTGGGTCTACCTCTGTTGGCTTTTCGCTGCTTGGCGTTTGGCCGCCCCGAGGGTTTGGGGGTTTCACTTCCATGTTTACCTTGGGGTAAGTGGTAGTTATCGCACTGGTGGGGCGCAGGGTACTGCGTAGCTAGTTTTCACCTATAACAGCGGCCGGCTCTGTTCCCTCTGGGTATGTTGTCCACTTGTGTGGTTTTTTCTTTAATTTTGTTTTTGCCTGGTAGGGGGGTCTTCCTTGTTTCCCCCCCCCCTTATATTAGGTTCGTTTGTGTGGTGGCACCCCCTGCTTTACCCTCGCGAGTGGACACGTTCCGTGGGTTCAGCTTTAGCAGTTTGCTTGGTAGTTTGGGGCGCCGGTTAGCAGTACCCTGTACTACAGTACTACACATAAGGGGCATAACTGGCAAACCCCTCACAGTGTTCAAGAGAGAACTGGATAAGCACCTCCAAAGGATACCTGATCAACCAGGCTGTGACTCATACGTCAGGCTGCGAGCAGCCGCATCTAACAGCCTGGTTGATCAGTCCAGCAACCAGGAGGCCTGGTCGACGACCGGGCCGCGGGGACACTAAGCCCCGGAAGCACCTCAAGGTAGCCTCAAGGTAGGTACCCTGCCTGGGATAACCCTTAGCAGACCCAGTCTAGGGGCCCTGGGAAACCCCCCGGGGGCTCTCGGGTCCGATAGTGGAGACCCTTGCGTCCCCTCTCGCTTTGTGTGAGTTGAGGGTTGCTCTGTCCCTTTGTCTCAAGGTGACTCTCCTTGTTTTTGCCTCCATCATGCTGCCTGTTTGGTCGGTGACACATTCGACCCTTGAGTCCTGCGAGCTTTGTTGCTTGTTCGTGACTCCATTCACCCAGTCTGCTGATGAATTCCCGTGGGTGCAGGCAGCTCGCGCGTTGCAGGGAAGGATGTTGCAACGTGCTCTGGTTTGTCGCTTCCCCGGACGCCCCGATGCTGCCCCGCTTGTGTAGGGACCCAGACTTGGGTGGTTTTGGTCGCTTCGGCCTTGGTTCCTTCCACACCCCCCTTGTTTTTCCCCCTCCTGCTTCCGGCCCCTACGCATCTGCAGGCTTTGGGGTCGGGGCGGGGTTAGAGGTTCTGAGACTTGGGCAGTTTCGGGGGTTGCCCCATCTGGGGTAGCTGCGGAGGCATTCGAGTCTGTTCCTCCGGCCGATGCTCCGGGGTTTTGACCAGTGGGCCCCCTTCTCTTTCAGCTCTCTCGGCTGCCCCGGCTTTTTCTTGTGAGGCCGGGGCTTTGGAGGTCGACTCGGCCCCGGGGCCTGGTGCAGAGGCTCCTGGGGTTGGGGAGGAGCGTCCTTGGGGGCCTTGGGCTCCATTGCACCCCGCCTGGATTTCAGTCCTTCTGAGCGGGGCTTACTGTTACGAGGAGTGGGGTTTTCTTTCCCCCCTCTGCGTACGATTTGGGCTTGGGTTCTGCTCCTCCCCGGGTTCGGTTCCGTGTCCCTGTGGTTTCTTCGGTTCTGTCTTCAGGAGGTTTTCGGCTAACCGCATCTCTTTGCCTGCGGTGCGGTTGGCCTTTGCGGCTTCCTCCTGCGTGTCCCGGAGTTTGCCTCCATACTGGTTCCTTCTGTTCTGGACAAATGGCTCCTTGTCGCCGTTTGGGCTCCTTTATAGCCGTTTGGGCTCCTTTGTGGCCGTTTGGGCTCCTTTGTGGCCGTTTGGGCTCCTTTGTGGCCGTTTGGGCTCCTTTGTGGCCGTTTGGGCTCCTTTGTGGCCGTTTGGGCTACTTCTCGCCTTGTTGGGCTACTTCTCGCCTTGTTGGGCTACTTCTCGCTTTATTGGGCTACTTCATGCCTGGTTGGGCTACTTCTCGCCTGGTTGGGCTACTTCTCGCCTGGTTGGGCTACTTTCTTTCGCGTCCTGCGCATGCGCCGTGGGAGTTTGTTTTGGTTCCGGGCGGTGTGCACACGTGTTCTGCTCCAATTCTCTCGAGGGCTTCGCCTCTCGTTCTTTTCTTATTCCCATCCGTGCCCCGTTGCTTTGGGGGTGTTCTGGGGTGCTGCTGTGTGGAACTCATGAGGTTTTTCCCTGCGTTCTAGGGTGGGGAGCCTCCTTCTCTGCTCCCATCCTCTCCAGCGTGGGCGCACTTGCCGCCTCCGGCGGATACGGACTCGAACGCTTGCGTCATGGCCCTTCAGGGCCTATGTTCTGCAGGTGAGTTGGTGCAGTTTGGCGTCTCCTTCGTCCTGACGCTGTTTTTGTTTTTGGAAGCAGGAATGGGTGTACATACGTACTTGAGAACGTGGACCGTATCACCCGAGGTGCCTACTGCAGGGCTATTAGCCCATACTGGGCAGCTCTTGTTCTCTCCACCTGATTCCTTCCTCAGTTCACGGGTGTCTGCAGGTGGCCTCTTGTCCCTTCAGAGGCAGTTCCTGCCTGTACTCCTCCTGCCCCTCTCCTATGCTTGTCTAACCTTGCTTGAGTTCGGGGCCCCGCCTCCACCTTGTTCCGCAGTGCAACGGTGGGGGTGCCTGTTTGGTAGTACATTTTCCTGTGTCGGAGGTTTTGTGTTTGCCTCCTTGTGTTTGCAGGTTGGGTTCTGCCTGTCGGGCGGATTCTGTGCTTCTTGGGCTCTCACATCTCTGCTCTTGGGGCTGTGTATGGGGTCAGCCCATGTTGGGCTGCCTAATGTGTTCCTTTGATTGCCTGTTACACTGCACACGTTTCTTCTACCGTCCCTGTTGCTCAGTTGGGTGCTCGGTTTCCGCCTATGTCCCCTTGTGTGCCACTCGTGTACGATTTATCTATCTTCTCTGTCGCTTCCTTGTGGAGTGTGGT